AGAAGACAGGTTGAGTTGATAGCAACTAAGGTACATAAGACAACAATCTGGTTGATTTTGCAGGCCTGAGGCCAGCCGTCTGAGCGTCTCTTGGGAGGATGACAGTATGAAATCAGCAAATATGGGGATTTCCTTCTCTCTTATATTTGAAGGCCAATATTGTTCTCACTGCTTTGCTTTGTTCTGATTGTTTCGCTTTATTCAATATTCTGTTTTGATTGGTTTTATTCTGGTTTGTTTTGTTTTCATTTTGCTATACCTGATGGAATGGACAACTATGGTGAAGAGAACACAATGTACTATGGTAGCTACTGTTTTCCTAGTATCCTGCTTTGAAGTTCTATACCAAGTCTGCTGCTTTGTTTTGATTGGCTTTTTTCTGTTGGATTTTTACTATCTTTAAAATAAAAAAAGAAAGTGTATTTCAATGTTGAATCTCATTTTATAGTAAATTCATTCAGAATGTCTCTGCAAATTGAAGTTTATAAACCAACCAACCAAAAACCTCTATGAAATAAATCAAAAGGCACCAATTAAACACAACCACTCTGAAGTAGTAACACATAACTCCCAGGGGAAAAGCTTTCATGTGGAGAACAATATCACCCTTGGAACAAACCCAGTGAAACATGGAGACTTCATCCAAATGTGACAACTGAAGTCAGCCAGAGCAAACGACTTTCCCAGTGTCACAGAGACACTAAGTCAGAGCTGGGACAGGTCCAGTCCCGACTGACACATGGTGATTCTGCATTGCAGACCCAGCCTGCCCTGTGTGCTTCTGGACCACTGAGAGGGCCTCTCCCACCAGGGCCGCCTGCTCCTGGGCCACGTGCTGACTTTTCTGGGGTGGCTATGGGTGAGGGTGGGCACAGAAGAGGGTGTGCTTCACAGAGAGCCAGCCTTGGGGTGAAACATGATAATCAACTGCGTGAGTCAGAGGTGAACGGCAAGGAGTTGGGTGCCACTGTGCCCAGTAATTTGTGCTTTAAGCTCCTGCCACAATGGACATTACATTTCCACAAGCAGGTAGAGCTCCTTATTTCAAGGAAGGTGGCATAGGGTGGTATTGTGGACTGATCAGGCCTGCAGCCTCCCAAATGGCTGAACATCAAAGGCTTAAACAGAAGAGACAAGTGATGTGATTTTAGGGCTCCAGCAGAATCAAAACCCTTTAGTAGAATCTAAGATTCTCCAGGGGCTGAGACAAAGAACTTCACTGAGTGGCCCAAATTTATTTGGCTTTCAAACAAGGAAAGAGGGTAAAGTGGAAAACGAGGAAACTGAGCAGGACCTTAGAAGTCAGCTCAAAGACTTCTCCAGGTATAAATTCTGTTAATTTAGCAGAATTATGGTATCTCCAGGCTGATCTTTACCTTAGTAGTGGGACGTCTGAGGTTGCAGTCTCTAATTGGGGTTAGAGCCAGGCGTCTTGAGCTTCTCTTGCCCTTTGAGGCATCTCTGGCTCACAGGCCACTACGGGCCTCAACCAGGACCAGTGATTCACAGAGGTTCACTTACTACGAATCTCCAAAGGGCCTAGGCCTGGGACAGACAAGTAAACGCAGAAAGCCAAATGATTCATTTTAAATTCTCCTCAGAGCCGCGTCACAATGGTCTCCATCAGGCCAGCAGCAGTGAACCTAGGAACACAGAGCCTCTCTGTCCTGTATAAGCCTGTTTGCCCCAACAGCTGCGTGTCCAGGCTTCACTGCGGTGCTGGCACTTTGGAAAGCGGGTTTGCGGTTGCAGTGTGAGCACTTGTCTAAAAGGTTTGCCGTCACCAGACAGGGTTTTCTCGTTGCTTACCTCCAGGAATCCTAAATATACCAGGTGTCTCTACTTTGCAAAAAGGTTAATAATGTTCAAAACACATGGCTTTCTAGGATCCAACAAGCCCACTCTTGAAAGAGGAACTGATGAGAAAATCGGGGGCCTCATTTCACCTCCACCCTGAAGCCTTTGTTCCTACAGTATCAGTGCACACTTCTCTCACTTCCTGCTTTATTCTTGGAGGGGTGCGGGATTTCAGAGGAGACTGAGGAAATGTGGTGGGATAAAGTCAACACAGGGCATGTCTTTTTAAACTGAAGGTCCAGAACCGGTTGCCTGAGGACAGGCTGCGTACTTCACTTCTATGGGAAGAAACTCACTCTCACCCCAGCCCAACAATAAGGCAGTCATAAGTGGTGGCACTTGCCTCAAGTCATCCAGTATGTGAAAATATCAGGATTTGAACTCGAATCTACATTTTGTACTACAGTACTTGGATCCTAGCTGAATTCTGTTCTGATACACTGCCTAGGCACTTAACACATTTGATTTTTTAAAATGTTTTTAATTCCTATGTTGGTGATATAGAATTCTTTCATCTTGAGAAGCCATGCTGGATCTGGGAGTACAAGAAGCCAATCTGCTCTTCCCATAAGCCATGCAAACAATGTGGGTGGGGCCCAGGAGAGAAAAGCCAGTTCACCCTTCCTGTGAGCTGACCAGCACACAGGCTGAAAACCAAGAAGTTCTCCCACTTCCCCCGTAAGCAACCAGCTGGTTTGGAGGACGGGCCGAGTTGACAGCAACTGAGGTACAAAAACAACTACATGCTTGTACTGTTGGACTGACTTTGTGGTAGTCCCGGCACCTACTAGGAGAGTAACAGTATGCAATATAGCAAATATGGGGCATTTCCTTCTGTCTTGGTTTCAAGATCCACTATTGTTTTGTTTTGTGACTATTTGTTGTTCTATTCAATGTTGTTTGGATTGGCTTTGTCTTGTTTACTGTGTCTGGTGGTATTGACAACTATTGTGAAGATAACGAGAGACTATGATAGCCATTGCTGTTTTCCTGTTGGCCTGTTCTTTGTCTGGCTTGGCTTTGTTCTGTCTGAATTTGTTCCCCTTGGGGAACTGGTACATGCACACTGCGTCTGACCGCTCTTACCCTCCCCCATGCCAGTCGCCCTTCATCTACTGCTGTTGCCTACTTAAGTGACAGGTTTGGCTCTTAATCTGCTCTCACTGAGATAAAATGCAGAGCAAATAATGGATCCAAAGGGGTAAAAGCAGCTATTCAATACAAATACTGCAACTAGAGTTTTTGCTTAGAAAGTTTTTTCTTGTTTCTGAACAGCTTTTATTCAGAAGGCAACAAAACACCAAGTGTCCTCAAGTCTGCTGCTCGGTGATGTTTACACCCAGCACACCATCACCCAGATTAAGGCCTGAAACACATCCGCCTGCCTGCAGTTTGTCTTCACAGCCAGTGCGTCCCAAGGCAGCCACTAGGATGACTTCGCTTCACGGGTCCAGGGACTCACATTTGCAAACGCAAAGGGCACTCCTGCACCTGGCTTTCCTGTCCAGCGGCCGTCTGTAAGACTCACAGGTACGCAGTTCTCTCCCCGTGTCACTGCATCGCTGGCTACTTTTTCAGTCTCTCTCCTACACTCAGCTCCATGGCGTTTGACTGCAGACTGCTGAGCAGGAGCCCTAGGGAAGGTGCAGCCTGTCTCAGCCTCCTTCGACTAAGATGACTCACGGTCCAGTCAGAACTGTCACAGCCAGGTCACCTGACGATGTCCCACTTCCTCCCCAGTCCACACCCATCGCCATCTGCTACGCACTCCATGCATCCCTCCCTCTGTTATGGTAGCATCTGCTGTCATTTGGGAAGTCACTGAGGTGAGGAGGGTAGAGCTGGGAACGACTGTGTATTCTTCTTAAAGACATGAAGAATGGCTCCCGGGGCACAGGAAGTGGCCTTCACTGATGCTCACAAGCCCTCACGGGAATGAACCACCTGGCGCCGTGACCCTGGACTTCCGGCCTATACACCTGACAAACGGCTGCTGTTTTAAGTCATTGGTTAGCACTGTTATAGCAACACTGTTAAAAGCCATCTTAAGCTTTTAAAAGTAACAGTACGTTTCCAGAAAACGTTACAGGGAAAATGAAATACAGACACCAGAACATATGGAGGGGAGAGCAAGCAGAGCTGGCTCATCTGCAGAGTGTAGGGCCTTCAGTTCCATGGAAACTCAAGCCCCTGAATTTGGAAGGGCCTGAGTGACCAGCTCACTTCCTCTTGACTTCCTGTCCTGCCACTGCTACAAGAGGCTTGAAGGTTGTTTCCCCTTCCTCTCCACACAGATCCAGGGTCCCGAGAAACCTCCCACCAGGTCCTCAGTGGTGTGGCCTACCCACACTGCATCTGGGGTTTCTCCACCAGGTGGTCTTCCAGAAGCCCTGGACCCCTTATTACTCACAAAGGGCTCACGAGTGACCTCCAAGATGAGGCAAGGAGCAGAAATGCCTTCCCAGTAGAGCACTGTGATGGGCAGGAAAGCAGACCTCGGGGTAGAAGGCAGTGAGTAACAGCGCTGTGTGCTAAGTGGCCATAGAATTTCCACCAGAAGAAAGTATCTTTTGCTTATTTCAGCATTTACAGTTCTGTTCCACCAATCCTGCATTCTCAGCTGCATTCAAATGGTGACATTCACCCAAGTTGAAAGAGGCTTTGTTTTTGGGGAGAGTACCATTATCTTAAAATTGGCTTAAAATTTAGTGCAGGAAAAATGTAAACAACCCACAGAATTAAAGGGGACAGCTGAGACTTGAAATGGACTTGCTGTAACTTAGGACCCGAGTGCTCTAAATGCTGGTCATCCGTGGCCTGCAGAGCATCAGCTGTCGGTGATGCTCTTGGGAGCCTGTTGGAAACGCAGTTCAGCCCACATGCCCAGCGGATATGCCAGCCATGCAGACACGGACTGGATGGAGAGAAACTGTGTCCCTGGGCAGTGGAGCATGTGCGGACTGACAGTGTGCCACGAGCTGTGGACACCATCCAGAGAGGGGGTGCAGTAAAACACTTAGGGTCCCCACCTAGTGCGTTTCATAAGTTAGTTACCAGTGTTACAGAGAAGGTATACTCTGCAAATATTCCCCAGGGAACAGCTTTTAGAACTACAGCAGAGTAACAAAAAGGACTTCAGCAGCTGCATTTGACTTGAAAATTTAATACACAGTAGCAATCAGAGTAACAGGCCAAACAGAAAGGCGATGGCGTTTGACAGTACTCTTGGCATATACAGAACAAAAAGTTAATTCCTCTCTGTTTTTCAGAGGAGGAAGGGAGGGTGGAAGGCAGGCAGGCAGCCGCCCCAGCAATCTTTACACATGAACTCTGGGTAATGGTCTCCTCTCCTTCTACAGACTTGTCCTTAAATTTAATGATTGAATCAGAAAATTCAAACAAATATAGAAAGTTCCTATCTAGTGGCCAGGAGAGCTGTTAGATGGTGGGCTTCACTTAATGATGGATGCTGGGGGCAGGTGACCAAGCAGCCAGCCACTCTAACCGCAGCAGCAGCACCGTAGTTGAGGGCCGGTGATCCAAGACCGCCCTTGGAGAGCCGCAGAGGACTCCAGCGGGTGATGTATGCGACAAAGATGCGAAGGAAGCTAACAAGATACGTTTCTAAAGCAAAGCAGTCAGTTCCAGTGAACCAGGTCCCAGGTAGTTTAAAGGAACAAACATTTACAGTAAACATTTTAAACTCTGGAATGCAGGTATTGTACAATTACTGGGACATTACATTTACAAAACTGCTTACACAGTAGTTGTCCAGAGTAAGAATTAAAAAATGTATAAGTTCACAATGACTTTAGATATATTAAAATACATTGTTAATCATAAAAATACTTTACTATGTACATGTACACTGTATAACCCTAAGTCACCTACTATAGTGGGCCTGTAGCTCACTCGCTGGCCTCCCGGCCTGGCAACGGGCAGGCTAGCGTTTGGTCTCCACATTCTGTGCATAGCCGGTCGGCCCTGCAGCCATCTTCAGGTCATCACACAGCTTTCTGCAGAACCCCTCTGTGACACACCTAACTGGAGGAGTCAGTCTTATTCCCGCTGTACCTCACTTTCCTAAACGCTGATCCTGATCCTAGTAACTCTGGGCATTCACATAATTCATTTGCAATTTGGTTACACTTCAAAATAAGGCTGTAGTTCATTTCATCAGTTATTACACTGTCTTGCTTGTAGTCAGGATGGTTTGCAATAAATTCTCTCATCCACCTGGCAACTGTCATCAGTTCTCCTGAAAAAACAAAAACAAAAACATTTTAAAGACAATATAGTAACATGTTTTTAAAAACTGAATTGGTACTTAGTGGTCAATCTAAACACCCACCTATAAAGAAAGCAACCTGACCCGTCCACATAGCCGCACATCAGGGACCCAGGGACCTTCCACCTTCTACAGTGTGTAAAGAATCCCTCCTTTGGGAGGGCAAGGCCACAACGTGTCCCTATGGTGGTTAAATGTCACCCCATCAGTGACACAGCTGCCTTTTTAGGGACAGGAGCCAGTGACTACGCACAAGTGAATGTGTCCTCTCACGTGGCCAGAGGGCTAAGGCTACGCTATCGTGGGACTGCCTCAGAGGATTCCAGAATGACCAATCCCCGCTCACGGCAGTGGAGGGGACAAACACAGGAGTAGTGAGAAGAGTAAACCAAGAGGAAACCCCGCAGATGGGCCATTTGCGGGGTGATGTGGGCTTGAGAGCTGGTCTTTTATGACTGCACAAGTGAAATGCAAATGTCATTACCGTCGTGACTGCTACTTTCACTAGCAGCTGGCGTCCCCAGCACTGTGGCAAGCACTGTAAACGTGACCTCCTCGAAGCTGACAAGAAAAGGCATCCACTGCTGACCTCTGCACAGGCTGCAGGGCTGGCCCTGCCAGCTGCACATGGCTCAACCATCAAGAGGCAGCGCCTGGCAGCCCAGCCCAGCAGGGTGTGCAAGGAGCACGGAGTGGGATGCAGCAGGAGGCCACCATCTCAGATGCCACGACCTGATGACGCATCACTTGTGTGTGTAAGAAGGAGCCGCTCTGCTAACTCCCACTGTGACCCTCAGAACTCAAGCCCTCTCCAAATTGCAGAGCTGTCAAAATGTGGGAAAATGTGCTAGGGCCAAATTGGGTGTCCTGTAAAGGGGGCTGGAAGGAGCCAAGTCCTTAAGGCTCTGTGCTTCTGTGTCCAGTGGAATGTGAAGCTAGAGGAAAGGAGGGAGGCCACTGTACCAGATGCTCTCTTCTTAATCAGCTTCAGGTAGTTCATGATACTGCATCTGGTGTCCACATCCACCTCCATGTTTTCCAGGTAACAATTCAGGATCGGGATGAGTCCGGGAAAAACGCCCTCCTGTGGAAGGAAGTGAGCAGACCGGTGGGTGAGGCCGCAGGGGTGTGAGGGGCGGGGCGGGGTGTGGCGTGGCGTGGCAGGCCTACCTTCCCGTTGATGATGGTGTCGATGCTCATGAGCGTGTACTCCTCCGAGGCCTGCTCTGAGCAGATGCTGCTGCCGCCAGCCACCATGCTACAGCCATCCATCACAGCATTGCCACCTGCGAGGAGGGCATAGAACCTTCAGGAGCTGCTGGCAGCAAAGAGGGACCCTCGAGACCCAGGAGAACGCAATACCTTTGCTAATATCCTTCCTGAAATAAAACATTTCCTGCAAGACGGCGTTTCGTTTCTGAGCCACTTTCATGTTTTCATCAACCTAAGGGAGAGAGAACCACGACGACGTCAGGACGAGCTGATCAGTGCTGAGGTGCTGGCACCTTCCCTGCTTGTGCTCTACACTGTCCCTTTCCCCTCTGGTCCTTCTGGCTTGACACCAGGACCACCAGGGCTGCCTCTAAGCATGGACTGGTGAGTGGACCAGCAGAAGTGTGCCTCGGAGAAGGGCAGCTGGGTGCGGGGGTCTCTTTCACCCAATCCCGTCCCGATCCTCAAAGGGGTCTGTGGTGCTGAACGGGCAGGTGATGCCTCTCCACCCTCCAGAGGTGGCAGGGAACAGGCAGGGTAGGGCAGGGCTGGAGCCCTCTGCGACGGCACCTGGGAGAGACAGGCCTGAGGCTGTCAGACCTGAGTCACCAGGGCTTGGTGACTTCTTGGGGGCTCTGGCCAGGTTGGCTCTCAGGAGTCTGAACATCCCCTTTTCACCTGTCAACTCTCCACTGACTCCTTAATTCCCGTGAAGCAGATCTTTTAAGGTATGTGGTCACCTGCAGAGCCTCAGTGGATGAGAGGAAGTCAGGGAAAGGGCCAGGGAGAGAGGTGTGTAGGCCTCCTGTCACTTGCTACGCTGAGTCCTCCTGTGCCCGCTGTGTCCTCTCGGACATCTGGAGCTTCCGAAGAATCCAGACACTTATCATAATACATCCCAGTAATAGAAGGGAAGTCAGTCCATCAGGGCTGCAGGTATCTCTAACGTTTCTTTTTAGTACCAGGGATCAAACTCAGGACCTCATGCTTGCCAAGCAGGCGCTTGTGCTGCTGAGCTAAACTCCAACCCCTTGAGGTTTTAACTTCCAATGAAATTTGATTTTTTCTTAGTCGACGAAAGTTCATAGACTACTGGCTTTAATCTCTGCTTTTCTAGGTCTTTCTGAGAAGCGTGTTTGAGGGGTGTAATGAGCCCCCCTGGAGGCGGCACTCAGGAGGACGCTGCCGGCCTGGACTGTACGTGAAACACTGGCCAAGACAGCAGTGAACACACAGCCACACCAAGACAGGTTTTCTAACTGCTTCAGTTTCTTTCTTTTTCTTAATAGTAAAAAGCTAACATTTTTCTTAGAGACGAACTAGTTCTGTTAGCTTCTCATTGCCATTCACTTTCCTACAAATCTGCCATTCTAGTTTTGACTTAGATCTAAACTACAGGAAAATATCTCCAACTTCCAACCGTTAAGTTTCTCTTGAACATCATTCTGCTGGATTTTGGTGGGAATGCACCCCATGGTCTTCTTGAGACAGGGTCTCACTATGCAGTTCAGGCTGGCATTGAGCTCACTTTGTAGTCAGGGAGATCTTGAGCTCACAATGATCTCCTGCCTCAGCCCCCCGAGTGCTGGGATTATAGGTGTGCACCACCATGCCCGGCTGTGACGTCTACTTCTGAAGTGGCCATGCCCCTGGCTGAGGCGAATCCTCCTGGGCTGTGCCACAGGAAGGGCATGAGGACAGTCAGGCACCCTGCTGAGGGCTCTCTCCCTGCCTCCCAGGCAGGCTTACTCCGGCTGCTGGACTTCCCTCTGTGCAGAAACCAAGGTGCTGGGAGCAGAAGTAACCTGCTTGGGTTAAAACGCAAGTGAGCAGTGCCAAGTGACAGGGACCCCTGAGGCCTTGACACCTGGGTCCCCCTGCCCACCCCATGTCTCCTCCCCTAGCACATGTCTAGGTGCAGCTCTGCCCTGCTGCGGGAAGAACCAGGCACTAGTACCCCGAGAGGGTACTGACGCTGCTCTCGGACCCCGCGGAGCAGCTTCCTCCTGGCAGCAGCTTGCTCTGTTGGGTGCTGCCTCCCCATTCCTGCTCTCTCCTCAGAAGGCGGCTCCGGAGCTCCGTGTGGCCAGCATGCACCCTCCTTACACCAGCAGCACAGGCTGCAGTGCGCCGCCTGGCCTCCCTGCTTCGGGTCTTGGGTTTCCATTTTGTTTCCTTTCCTACTTTGCGTTCTGTGGGTTTTACTGGTTTAGCACTTGTAGGCTCACCCCACTTCTGGGGCTCTGCAGTTTTCTGTGTTCTCTTTGTTCTTCTGGCCAATGGTTTAGAAATAAATTCAGTTTTAGACTAAAAAACTATTTCTACACCAGCACTTTGCTTTCCTTTTAAACACGCAGCTGTGAAACATACCTAGCGTTGGCCTCCTACCATTTCCTCATGCAGGAGCCCAGGGCGGGGCGGTGGCGGGCTGAGCTGGGGAGGGCTGCAGGTGGCCACCTCTGTCAGGCTTCTGCGCAGGTGGAAGGGGCCACTCGGAACCAGTGAACCCTCACCAGACCCTAAATTTCCTGGAGTCTTCACTTTAAACCAAGGAGAGACCTTTCTATTGTCTACAAGCTACCCGGTTTCCAGATAGAGCTGGCTGAACAGACTAAGACAGTAGGTTAGATGACTGGCACCCGTTAGCCTTATATTAACCTATTTAGTTTTTGCCAAGAATGACTTGGAATCTAAAAAGAATTTGGCTGGGAAAAGAATTTTATAGTCATTTCTTACTACTTAAGATTTGGGATTTCTGTCTCTTCTCCTTAATATTTGTCCATTATTCCTTTTATTATGGTATCTTGTATCTCTGCTATGCAAACTCTTCTTTTAAATTATTACCAAACACTGAAATTTCCAATGCAATTTTCCATAATTTTGATTTCTCTCCCACTTTCAAGGATAAACATGAATTTGGTTTCCTCAGTCACTGTGCAGGCCTCAGTAACACGTGTTTCCTAAAGTGCACACTGAGTTTTACAAGTACTTGTTTCTGCCACGTGTGGCGGCACACACCTGGAATCCCTGCACTCGGGAGTCTGAGGCAGGACGGTCACTGCTGAGCCTGAGGTCAGCCTGGGCTACACAGCAAGTTCAAGGCCAGCCTGACTACAGTGAGACCCTGTCTCAAAAATACCAAAAAACTAAAAAGATAAAAATAAAAAGCACTTGTTTTTGAGAATGCTCATGCTTCCCATGCTCATCCAGGGAAGTGGCCCTCTCCAGGGACTTCTGGTGCCTCACGAGGGTTTACTTAGGATTGCCTTCCAGTTCTTGGCTCTGGGGCTGGTGTCCTCTGTGGACCAGGCTGTGGGTCACTCTTAAGTCTCCTGCTGGCTTTCAGGCATCCACTCCTATCTCACCCAGCACCCTGCATGGATGCCCCAGGGGAGATGGTGTCTCTAGCATGTTCCCCAAGAGCACCTCCCACGCTGGACACACACTGCCTCTCTGCAGGGACAGTTCCCATGCAAGCTGTCCCTCGGTTCTTGCTGATTAATGTTCGTTTGCCTTCTCCCTACCTCCACCCCTCTTTTCAGTACTGGGGACTGATTCCAGGGCCTCTGCCCAAAATTGAATCCCAGGCCCTTTTTAATTTTGAGACAAGGTCTTGCTAAGTTGTTGAGTTGCCTAGACTGAAATCAAACTTCTTGATGCTCCTGACTCAGCCTCCCAGAGTGCTGATCTCCAGTTTGGCTTGGTTTCCCTCCAAATGAGTCCTCTTCCTGGGGAGAAGATAGCAGTGCAAGGGCCTCACACCTACCTTCGAGAGAGGGATAAGGAAATCCAACTTGTACGAGAGGATCACTCTGGTGAGCAGCACCACAAACACCACATAGGCGGAGTTCTCGAAGTCTGTCAGCTGCACCTGCAGGAGCACAAGCCCAGGGGCGTCAGGGAACAGCCCTCACCTGGGCCTAATGGGTGGCCCTGTCCTGGCTACTTCCTCCCTCCCACCATGGGTGGAAGACCCCCCCACATTTCTGCTCAGGCCAGACACACTGGGCTTCTAAGGCCTCATGATGATAAACTCCACCATCTGATGTGACAGCACCAGAAGGTGCCACCAGCCTGTGGCTGGGCCGAGCCTCACCTCCATGGGGCGGAACTCCACTCTCCAGCCGATGTCAGAGTTTGGGGGTGGGGGCTTAAATCTCATGGTCTGCCAATTTGTGGACTGAATATTCTACAATACAAAACAACAGAGGATGAAAGCCACTCCTCCCATGTTTGGGACCCTATTAGTGTCAAATCCGCGAAGACTGCTGTGGGTTGGGGTTTTCTCGAGTGTGACTTGGGAAAACAAAACAGCAAGTGTCCAGTTAGAGGCAAGTGGAGGCTGCAGCACTGAAACAAAGGACTGGGTTACTTCTTTGCCTGGCCTTGGATTTTCCTTCACTCAGCACAGGAGAGGGTACTGAACACAGAAATGTAGAACTGGAAAAACACCAGGAAGAGCTAAGTAAGGGGAACTTTAAACCACTTTTTCCTTTTGCTTGGTTCTTTACCGCACTACGCAGAGAGACATGGGAGACTTCCCCTGCCCCAGGTTCTCGGGGCACCAGTGAGACTGTGTGCGAGGAGGAGATACCTCGAAATGGTCGGACTCGTTGGCATCATCCAGGTCGATCTTCTCCTTGAACAGTGTCAGGGGGTCTCTGATGAAGAGGTGAGCCACGTGCTGTGCCAGGAGGTGATCGATGCCTGCAAAGACAGCACGCATGGGCCCCTGCGTGGCTCTCCACGCCACTTGCCAAGCCCGGCTGAAGCAAGGGAGCGCAGGAATCTGGGCCGCAGTGCTTGGCTCGCCCAGGACTTTATCCTCCGGACACTGGGAAAGTCCGAGTCTCACTCACCACTTACACAATGCCTGCGGGGCACTGGGCTGGACCTAGACACAGAGCTCCAAAGCAAGTTCCTTTTGCTAAAAGTCAAGAAGATCTCACAAGTATTTGAGCTTGAACTTTAGGAACAAGCAGCCTCACAAGAAAAGTTAAAGACTTCACACTAAAAACAGAAACCAGACCAGGAGTCAGAAAAAGGTGAAAAGTGCTTTCAAGGAAAGGTGCAGAGCCAGACCCAGGTACCCCGCAGGGCTGCTCACCGTTCTGCACCAGCTGCTCATAGATCCCTTTATCTATGGTCAGGTCGATGTCGTTGTACTTCTCCCCACACTTAGATAAGTAGCTGTCTATTGAGTCGTATCGGGACTTACTGATCCGGTACTTATTGTTCTTCAGTGGCTGAAACAGAGAAGGCATGAACGATGGATGCCCCATAACACGATCTGGAAGTCAACACTCCAAATAATCCATAGCAGTGTTTCCTAAGAACACGTTCTAGACAGCACAGAGTTGAATATGATGACACAAAAGGCCAGAGTGGAAGGCAGGCATGGTGGCTACTCCTGTAATCTTAGTATTTGGGGAAGTTGAGGCAGGGGGATTACAAGATTGAGCTCAGCCCAGGTAACTCTAAGACTCTGTCTCAAAATGAAAAAAATAAAATACAAGGGGTGGGGATATAGTTCAGTCCAAGTAGCACAGTCTGAGCTGAAAACATCAGAAATTTTTGTGGGCAGCTCCTTTAAAAACATCCACGCCCAGCTCCAGCTACAAAGATCCTCACGAGCCTGGAAGGTGTGGGCCAAGCTGTGGAGCTGAAATCTCCCCATGGGTAAGTGTGCACTGCTGGCAGGAGGGATGCAGCCCTTGAGATAAGCCACCCTCTACCTAAGCCTTCCTCCCCTGGAAGGCATCTCTGACGATGCGCCCCAGTCCTAACACCGGGGCCTCACAGAGTGTTGGTGTGGGGCCAGAGCCTTCAGGGGACTCTAACCAGAAACCTGAGCCACTGCTGTTTTATTTTATTTTACTTAATTTTTTTGTCCTTTCTGATACAGGGTCTCACTATTCAATTCAGGCTGGCCTTGAGCTTACTTTGCAGCCCAGACTGGTGTCAACTTGAAACGATCCTCCTGCCTCAGCCTTTTGAGTGCTGGGATTACAGGTGTGCGCCACCAGGCCTGGCTTGAGCCATTGTTTTAAAAAAAGCTAAAACAAACACAGATTTCAACAAATGATGAAAACTATTCCCCACCCCAACCAAATCACTTTCCCCACATAAATCCACCACAACAAAGATGGGCCATGTCCTGCACACTTTTGTCCACATGGGACCGAACAGACTGGAGGTAACAGGGGAGTGGGGTGCTGAGGCTGCCAACGGTACTAACAGCCCTGCCAACTAGTCCCACAGTTTCAAGGACAAGGATGATCGCAGGAGGGAACTGCCCTACCTCCAGTCCTCTCTCCTCCCGAGTTCTGTCGTCTACGGATGCGGAGATCACTCCCCAGCGACAATCAATGTCGGAGACGTAGCCTCGGTAAAAAGGAGATGCAGCACTCAACGCCATCTACAAACAAAGGCAAGTCAGCATCCTCGGTCTCAGGGCTGCGCACACCCATGGCTGCAAGAGCCGAATGCATCTTCCGCTGGAGAACTGGTCAGACACTGCGGGTGCCTGATGCTGCTCTTCAAACGAAATGAACTAGAAGACCCCTGGGCTCTGACCCGCTTGGCCCATTTTCTCTACAGCGTGGGGACATGATGCAAGAGGGACACAGGCCACATACACATGACCTCTGTTTAACACACACGTTTCACTACAACTAAGCTGGACTTTCAGTGTGTTAGCTCTCAATTGGCATGGTATTTACGTGTTTATTTCTTTTTTGTTGTTTTTGCTTTGTGAGCCGGGGTCTCACTACGTAGCTCAGGCTGGCCTTGAACTCCCTGTGTAGTCCAGGCTGGCCTTGAACACATGGCAATCCTCTTGCCTCAACCTCCGGAGCACTGGGATTACAGGTGTATACCACCACGCCCGGTGTTACACTGTTCATTTCTGAAAGAAGTCTTAACTCGACTGAAATAGCACACTAATAAAAATTCTGCACATGTGATCTTATTTTATTCAAAGATGTATTTAAAGTAAGATGTAATTTCTACTTACAACAATCGGACAAATAGTGGCCAACTGATCGTAAAGGTAACTGGCCTCAGATATGCTGCAGGCTTGGAACGTCACCTGTTTAAGAATGCGAGACATCAGCAGCAGCAAAGACCATCGGCACCCCCTTGAGCACTCAATCCAAGAAAGAGGGTGGCTGCAGGGGTGGGGAGAGCAAGATCACGGGGGTGTCAGTGCTGCCTGTGGCCCACAAGTCCTGCTTAGGAGCTGCCACAGCGGATGGATTTCACTAGAAGGCAGTATTTCTAGTTAGATTTCTGCATGTCACACTCTGTGACACTCGGATAACCTGTGTAACTAGGTTCCCAGGTGAAATAACACACACACAATACAGTGAACGGGAGGGAAGCATTCCCTCTTCTCTCAGCCTGTCTCCTCTCAGCTTCTGGGCACTTCAAGTCAGCTGAGTGTGTTTACACTTTGGTGGTGCAGGCCTGTCATCCCAGCACTTGGGCAGCTGAGGCAGAAGGAAGGGCAGGAGTTCGTGGCCAGGCTGAAGTACACAGCAAGACTTTGCCTCAAACAAACAAAAATGGTGGAAAGTGATCTGGAGGTTTCTGTACACAAGGGGAGTACCCAGAAGAGAGGAGGACCCCAAGAAACGACAGCAGTGCGGACACTGCGGAGGTGAGCGGCTCGGCATGTAGGCAGAGTGAGAAGAGACTTCGGTCCTGGCCTGGGTGTCCCCCAGGAAGGAAAAAGGCTACACGGGAAGAGGGACACAACAGCTGTGAGTGCACAGGGGCGACCAAGAGCCCCCGAGAGGCCAGGTCTCTGGGCTGTCAGAGGAAAGCTGAATGCAGCAAAGTCTGGGGACTGGGACTTCGGGGTGGGGGTGTCGAGGGTAGAAAGGCGCACACAAGGGCAAGGAGAAAAACAGTCCTCTACAACACCAAAACAAACGAACAACAAACCAAACCACCCACGGGGAAGGCAGAGCCGGTAGAGGAAAGAACACAGAATGCAGGGCTGGGGATTTAGCTTAGCGGCATAAGCGCCTGCCTTGCAAGCGCGCGGTCGTGAGTTCTATCCCTGGTACCGAATTAAAAAAAAGAAAAAAAAAGAACAAGGAATGCAAATGGTATTTCTATTTGTACATTTGTTGTAATTGCAAAGTTCCAATTTCCTCTATTATTGTAATTCTGTAGTGAGTGTTCACACTTAGTGTTGGTGCAGAAGACAAGGTACACACTCAGTTTTGCTCACATAGCAATGCAAACCCTGAGTTTACCCTCCAGCATGAAACAACACAAAACAAAGCAGCACTTCTTAAAAAGTAGCAGCTGAGTGAGCACGTTTATGGTTACCAAGCTCATCTCAACTTTGCTTTACAGCAGCCCGCTTCTTTGAGAGACAATCACACCCACAGCACTGTGAGTGCAGCTCGCATCAACACGATGGCCACACAAAACGATTATTTGAACAATTCAGTGTCTGGATCTTGTAATTACATATTAATTCTTAAGGTGGCCCTGTATTCAAGTAAAATGTAATGATAATTAGCTATATGATTAACATGGAGAAGAGCTGTGTCACAGATATCAAAGAAAAAAGTCTCAAAGGTTCTAAAAGAAAGATTTAGGGGAATTGGCAATTAGGGCGCTGATGCCAAAGGGCAGCACCTGCACAATGACAGGTCGGGAACGTCTGCATGAGCTAAGGAAACAGAAAAGGGCCTCGACAGATGCTGATCACGAGTGCCCCGAGGAAGGGGTGTGGCGGGGGAGAGAACACAGGACAAGAACATCCTAAGATACCTGAAAACTGATCTCCATGATCATATCCAAAGATGAGACTTAAAATCTTGGAGATGTCCCTGCATGAAGCTGACGAGCTCTGCTGAACATGCGAGTGTGGTTTGTTTACACCCTTCTGGTGACTCCTGCATATTTCAGTGTTAACTTTTTTGGTTTTTCAAAGGTACTATAATAAACTATAACAAATATTTTTTCTTTCTTGTATTCTGCTGACTTTTCTTAGCTGGCTTAGGACACACAAAGCAATTTATAGGCAAACCCTAAAAAGACAACCCTCAGAAAGTATTCCAACATGTCGTGAACTTGCTGCATACTAAATGATTTCTGAAAAGCTCAAAAAGAGAGAAGAATCAAATGTGAATAAAATGTTTTTTGTTTTACACAATAATAATACTAATAATACAATACTACTACTACTAATAATAATAATTGTTTTACACAATAATAATTCTTTAAAAAATTACTTCATAACTCGTTTCCTGCTTTATAGCAGCAAGCGGTGTCTACTGTTTCCCGCTGGAGACACAAAGCAGTGGTTTCTGTGATCACGTGCAGAATTCGTCTCATTGCCACACACTTTTCATTGCAATGGTTGTTAAAAGTGAAGTGTCAGAGACCACTGGGGAAAAAAGAAAATAATACTAACTGCATGCCAAGTTTGACACTGTGGCTCATACCGGTAATCCCAGCACTCGGGAGGCTGAGGCAGGAGGATCGCTGCAAGTTCAAGACCAGCCTGGGCTACAAAATGAGCTCAATCAAGGCCAGCCTGAACTGCATGAGACCCTGACTCAAGACAAAACAAAACAAAAAAACCGAAATGCATGATAAGGCTTACATTTTTGTACTATTAAAATATTTATTCCCACCATTAAGCGAAATTTATTTTCCAACAGTGTTTCAAGGTAAGGAATGCTTCTTTGGAACTAGCCTAGGGCAACTGTGCTGTCCGCTGGCAAAACACCCTGGCTTATTAGATCCAGAGAGGGCCCCAGGCACTCTGATAGCACCAACACAATTGTGAAGCCAGGCACTTTAAGTGCTGGAGTTTAATGGTTATTTCTAGTTAAGACATCACAGTAGGTATGCAGTTAACAGCCAAAGGGTCTCTTTGTAAAGTAAGTGTGCCCATTTATCAGGAAACTGATTAGCCTTTATTTTGAAACCATATATATTGCCCTGCCTATGCATGTCATGAAACCCGAGACTTCAGGAAGATGGTGGAGTGGTGAGCAGCAGAGTAAGACCCTGTCCAAGATTTGGTGTCCAGAAACCGGACTATAGCAACGCAAGGACGAGGAGGAGGAGGGGAGTGAGCAGCCTGGACCAGCGAAGGAACCAAAATGAGACCTGAAGCCCACGGGCTAGCAAAGGGTGAAACCTCAGTGAAGAAGAACAGGCAGTTGGTGGAGCCTTCTCCCCGAGTCGGGACTCACTGCGTAGGAGAGCGGTTCAGACCCGCAGGCTCACAGCCACTACTGGCAGCCTCAGAGGCGACCAGTGAGATGGGACAGTGGATGCTGCGGACTGCTCTGGCCGCCGAGTGGCATGGATTTGGGCCTCCCAAGGGAGGGAGAGGGCTACTGGCAGGGAGCCATCTTGGAGAGGGGCCAACCGAGCTCAGAACTCAGAACAACTGCTGGCTCCATCCGTTCACTCCCACCTGAGTGTGAGCTCGTAGCAGGTGCGGTGACTGAGGTAGGCTGAATGGTTCCAGCCCCACAAGGGAAACCAGCCTGAACTTCGGGGGAAATAAAGTTGCAGCCTTGCTGAGATTACCCATGACTCCACTGTAAAGGCACTGCTGGCTCACAGGGATAAATCAACCTGGATCTGGACTCTGTCTTCACACGCAGTCTACAGGGACCAGAGACAAACCTTGAAGTGGACATTTCTCTCTCTCTTCTTGGTTTGGTTTTTTCTTTCACTATTTTATCTTGTTTAATATGAGTGTGACCATGCTTTCTAGGTTTTTTTGTGGTTATTGTTTTGTTCTACTTTTCTCTTTCCCTCCAGTGTTCTGCACCAGTTTCCCAAAGTTTTCCTGATCCTCCTTTGACTTCCAGTCCTGTTTCTAATCTCTCCTATTTCTTTTCCCAATTCCTTTTCAGTTTCCTCCTCGGAGGGTAAACCTGTCATATTGAGGCTTGGTGTATACAATTTTCTGGTTCATTTTACATTTTGTCATGTGACGACAAATCTGCCTCATCTGGTTAAAGGCAGCCAATTACCGGTTATCTCAGTCATTTTCCAGGCCATGTTGGATGCTACTATTGCTGACTATACTACTTTAGCCTACCTGACATTACTGTTCTAACTAGTTGTTTTTCCTGGTATCCCAAGACTGAGATACCCTAACGCATCATAGAAAACACTGGGAGCCAGTGTCAAAGAACTAGAGGCTGCGCCAAGCAGGGGGCAACTTCTTATTCCCAAAAACTGGAAGAGGTAGGATCTTGCAGCAGATTCAAAACTCAAAACGCAGCAAAAGCTGAAAGACATCTCTGAGACATAGTAATTTCCTAAAGGTTTTAAATATTAGCAATAAAGTTACTCACCCTAAGCAATTTATAAGCACAACCCAGGAATTAAACTAAAACAAAAAAAAGGAGAAGAAAAGAAAAAGATACTTAAGATACAGCCCCAGACATCCAGTTCAGAAAGGCAAATGGAGGAGGCAGGAAGATGGGAAGATCTGAAAGCCATGAACCCGATCTCTCTGACAGTAAAAATAAAGACAAAGTAAATGAGGCTCTAGAAAAATATTAGAAAAAATAAATTAGAAATAATTTCTCAGATTAACTACCGAGATGGTAACCACAATGAAAAACATGCTCAGTGATCTAGAGCACATACAGATAGAAAAAATAGAGGGCCTTAGGAAAATGACAGAAACCATGAATCCCCAAAGGAATGAAATAGAATCCATAAAACAGATTCAAGCAGTTATGCAGGAGATTAAAAATTCCACTGAAAGTATCTGCAGCAGAATAAATGAGGACAGAATATCAGACATAAAAGACAGGCTTGTAGGTAGCAATCATAAAAAGATTTCATAAATATAGCAAGGATCACAGTAATCAATCTAGCAGCTGACAGATGATGCATAGAAGAGTAACAGAATATTGACTGGAGTCAATGTAAAAAGCAGGAGAGAGTGCAAATGACATAAAAAACCTGTTCATAGATGTCAAAAACTTCCCTGGCAGGGAAAAAGAACTTGACATATGGATAAGGGAGGCATACAGTACACTCTAATTAGCCAAGAGGAAAAGAAATCTACAGTAAGGCATATAACAGTCAAGATTCCAAAAATTTAACACAAGAACACAGTATTAAAAGCTGTTATAGACAAGACACAAATCTCCTATAAAAGGAATCATCACTTGGGGGGGAAAAAAAAAGAAGAATCATAGTTGATTCCTCAGCACAAACTCTCAAAATGCAAGCTTAAAGTATTTCAAGCCCTAAAAGACTGATGAACCCAGAAAAACTACTTTCAGAAAAATTGATGGAGAAATATGACACGTCCATGACAAAAAACACCTGAAGAAATTCATATACACCAAACCAGCACTTCAAAATGTTCTGAAAGACATTCTAGAAAGATAACACAGACTACAAAAACCAACAGGATGAATCCACTAGGCAAGGCAAACAATTAAATGGGGAAGGGAGCAGCAACAGGAAAATAACATGACAAGGGTAAGTCAATACACATCAGTTATAACCATCAATGTTAATGGTCTCAGTTCACCAATCAAATGCAACAGATTGGCAGAATGGATCAAGAAACAAGATCCAACAACATGCTGCCTACAAGAAGCACACGTAATACAGAAAGAAATTGATAGACTGAAAGTCAAAGGATAGAAAACAATAATCTATGCAATAAGAACCCAGAAAAAAGCAGGAATACTTACTCTATTTGCAGACAAAGTGGATTTCAAGGCAAGAATGATCAAGAGACAAAGAAGGTCACTACATCTTTGTAAAGGAACGAACAACCCAAGAGGAAGAGATAATAATCATAAGTATATATGCAACAAATACCAGTGCACTCAACTATATAAAACATATATTAATGGACATGAAAAGTCAAATAAGCATTAATATTATATCAGGGTATCTCAATACCCCACTGTCTCAAAGATCAACTGGACAAAAAAAGTCAACAGTAAAATACCAGAACTGAACCAGACTTTTGAACAAATGGATTTAACGTTTATGGAGTGTTTCACTCCCCGACACTTGAATACACATTCTTCTCAGTTGCACACAGGACGATCTCCAAAATAGACCACATTCTACCTCACAGAACATGCTTAAGTAAATGTAAAGGAACTCAAATTATCTCATGCAGCCCATATTACAATGAAGTTAGAAGTCAATGGCAAAAGAAACCACAAGAACTTCATAAACACATGGAAATTTAATAAATAATACCCTCCCGAACAACCAATGGGGCATAGGTGAAATTACAGAATAAATTAGGACAGCTTCTACAATTAAACAAAAATACCAATACAAGATACTGGAACTTATGGGACACAATGAAAGCAGTCCTACAAGGGAAATTTATAGCAGTGAATACCCATAGGAGGAAAACAGAGAAAGCTCAAACAAATGACTTAATGTTCAACTTCAAGCTTTTAGAAAAAAGAGCAGGTCAAACCCAAAGCGCACATAAGGGAGGAAATTATAAAGATCAAAGCAGAAACTAATCCAATGAAGGTTAAGAAAACAATACTAAAAAAAAGAAAAAAAAGGATCAGAGTTGGTTCTTTGAAAGATATTCAACAATCCCTTAGCCAACCTTATCAAAAGAAAAAACTCAAACATATGCTATTAGGAATGAAAAGGGTGAAATCATAACAGATCCTGCAGAAATCTAGACTATCAATACCCACTTTGAGAACCTGTATTCTAGTAAGATGGAAAACACAGAAGAAATGGACAGATTCCTAGATATATGTACATTAATCAAAAAAGACATAAAAACTCTAAATAAACCAGTATCAATCAATGAAATTGAAGATGTAACAAAAATCTGCGAACAAAGAGAAGCCCAGGTGCTGATGGATTCACTGCTAAATTCTACGAGAAATTTATAGAAGACCTAATACTACTATTTCTCAAACTGTTTCATGAAATTGAAAGGGGAGCAATATTCCCCAAATCATTGCTGGAAGCAAGCATTACCTTGATACTGAAACCAGAAAAGGATCCACCAAAGAAAAGAGAACTACATACAGGCCAATCTCCCTACTGAACATAGATGCAAAAGTCTTCCATAAGACACTGGCCAACAAAGTGGCAAATCATAAGATTATACATCGTGACAAAGGAGGATTCACCCCAGGGATGCTGGATGGTTCAACATGAGCAAATCATTAAATGTAATATACCATATTAACAGAGCCAAGGACCAAAACCATACGATCATCTCAATAGATACAAAAAAGTTTTTGACAAAGTCCAACACCTAAGAAAATTGGTATACATGATGTTTATCTCAATTGGATAAAAGCAATCTATGACAAACCAATGAATTTTAGCATTGTTTTGCCTAATTCTGTGTGATATGCTTTCAGAGTTTTGATCAGAATTACACTAAATCTGTATAACAATTTTGGAAGTATGACCATTTTCCCCACATTGTTTTTTGCTACCCAAGAACAATGGATTTCTTTCCATTTTCTGACACCCTCTTCAATCTCCTTTTTCAGAGTACTATAGTTTTCTTTTCTTTTTTTTTTTTTCTTTTTTCCGGTACTGGGGATTGAACTCACGACTGCTTGCTTGCAAGGCAGGTGCTTATGCTGCTGAGCTAAATCCCCAGCCTGAGAGTACTATAGTTTTCAATGTAGAGATCTTTTACTTCCATTGCTAGATTGGATTCTAAGTATTGCATTTTTTTGGATGCTATTGTGAAAGGTGTTTCACTAATTTCTCTTTCTGTGAGTTTGTTGTTTGTGTACAGGAATGCTATTGATTTTTGAGTGTTGACTTTGTATCCAGCGACACTACTGAATTTGGTTATTAAATCTGGAAGTCTTTTTTGGTGGAGTTTTGGAGACTGTCTATGTAGAGTATCATGAGATTTGTAACTAATGGTAATTTAACTTCTTCCCCTCCTGTTATTTCTTTTATTTCTTTCTCTTGTCTAATTGCCCTAATCTTTCCAGAACTGTATTGAGTAAGATGGTGACAGTGGGCATCTTTGTCTTGTTCTTGGCTTTTAGAGTGAAAGCTTTCAGTATTTGTCCATTCTATGTGATGTCAGAATAGATGTGTAGAGATCCTTCAAAAAACTAGGACAAGAGATTCTACTGGACCTGGTTATTCCCCTCCTTGATATCATCCTAAAAGAATTAAAAGCAACCTATCACATCAGTACAAGCACACCCATGTTTACGGAAGCACAATTTATAAAAGCACAATCTTGGAAACAGCCTAAATACCCATCAACTGGTGAATGGGCAAAGAAGACATGGACTTTTTATACAATGGAATACTACTCTGCCATAAAAAATAAGCTTGAGACATTTCTAGGTAAATGGATGCAGCTGGAGACCATACTCTCATGTGAGATAAATCAGACACACATGTGTAAATACCATATTTGTTTCTACGGTGTGACAAATCTAAAGTGTAAAGAAGGACCAAAATGTATAATAGGTACTATAAAATAGGAAGAAAATGTTCAAATAGGGAGGAGAAAAATGAAGGGGGATGGAGAAAGGAAAGAAGTGAGAAAAAAAAAAGGGGAAAAAAATGGAAACAAGGCTTTAAAAAAAGTAAGTTATGTCATGCACAGATACAAATTCTCTCTGACAAATGTGATCACTACGTAGACTTAAAATATACCAGACCTACATAGATCCTTATTAAAAACCTTTCTTTTAACTGAAAACTGAGCCAAAAGAAACGCAAGTCACTACCCAAACTCGGGAGCAGACAGACTGACAGCTACGCGGGCCTTGTGTGGGAGAGGGCGGTGCAGCCATGGTCAGGAACATCAGCGATGGACTTGGCTTCGGACAGGAGGGTATAGGAGTTACGAAAGAGCACTGCTTTACTTCTGGTGTGACGCAGCCAGGGAAGGGTGAGGGCAGGGTCCTAAACACACCTTCACCTTAGGCACTCAGGCGGCTCCGCACTAATGTAAAACCTGCACTCCTAACGGCCTCTCCTCGGGTCAGCAGTCCTGGAGCGCCGCCTCCATGGCTCACACACCAGGTGGCAGTGCACTCTAGGTGAAGCAGAGTCAGGAGGAGACAGACCAAGCAGAGCTCTGCATTCTCACTAAGCACAATACACTTTCACTCTAGAATTCCTAAGTCTTTTTCATTTTTATCGGTACCGGGGATCAAACTCACGACCGCCTGCTTGCAAGGCAGGTGCTTATGCCGCTAAGCTAAATCTCCAGCCCCCTAGAATTCCTAAGTCAAGAGACAGCTTCAAATGAGTACACTAAAATAAGTTTGTTTTTCAGAAAGGCATAGCAGCTGCCATTTCACCCTCAATAAATGCGATTAGTGAAATGGAAAGCACCACACAGTAAAGCAAAGTCAAGCGGAAGTGGCTAAGGACCCTTTGCCAGCCTGTGCTCCCCGAGCAGTACCTGCAGGCAGCAGTTGCCCATCCCGAACCCCATGGCATCCATGTAAATGTGATCCGGCTTAGCAGCCCGTGCAGCCTCGTTGTCCTCAGGGAACGTTTCTACGAAGGGGGACGGTGTGTTCTTGTCCCTGAATACTGTGGAATGACCCAGAGAGGTCAGAGTCAGGGCTGTTACACACCGCAGCCTCCCGCCCTCCTCTGGCCCGCACTCACTTGGTACGTTGATGACAACCTTCTCCCCTCTCCTGTGCCGGATATTTCTGGTCAGGGTACTGTAACAGAGAATCACACGTCATCAACGGGGACCTCCGAGCTACTGTGTGACGGGGGCATGTGGCCACACAGACCTCAGTGCCGGCCACTCCGATGCGTGCTTGTGTGCACCATTCCCTCTACCCACTGCTCGCTGCCTGTGCCTCGGCGCCCTGCTCCCTTGCAAGCACAGGTGTTTCTCTAACAGTTTCCACTTCGCTGCCCAAGATTCTGGGTGCATTCAAGCACTCCCTTCCCAGGCAACCCTGGAGTCCCAGTCTCAAAGCTCCTGCACTCTGTGCTGCAGACCCTGGAACTGGGGCTGCCCTGAGAGTAACACATGCCAGATTTGGACCACTTGGTATAAAAAGGTAACAACTGTTTTTAGCATTTAAAAATGTTGATTACATGTTGAAGTAATACTTTGGATTAGACTATGTTAAAAAATTTGGTGCCTCTATTTTTTAACATCTTACTAGAAAATTAACAACTATATCCATGGTTTCCGTTATGCTTGCAGTGGTTCATGCTGTGACTGAGTCCACTGAGGTACCACCACTTCTATGAAGCACTCACCACATAAAGCCAAGGACAGGCTGCTGGGGGCCCTGGATCAACTTAAAGTATAAGAATGAAACTGTGAACTAACAAGCCTAGAGGTCAAGGGAGCAGAGGAAGAGAGCACAGAAGTGTCCACGCGGTACACAGGATGGGACCAGCAGGCCAGACACTGGTGTGATCTGGAGAGAAGGGGAGGCAGGAGAGCCACTAAAAGCACACAGAACCAGGCTGCACTACATCTGCTTGTTAAGGAGGACGGTGGCGACATCAATGACAACTCAAACCTGGTTGTAAGAAGCAACATCAGAGTCGTGAGCTGCCGAGGATGTGAGCGGGTGTCTCCTGTCTCCTACACTAAGTGGGGAGGAGCCGAAAACAGTGAATGTTCAGGAAGCACCTCGAGGACAGAGCAGCATCTCTGAATGCAGGTGTGCGAGGGCACCGCACCAGATAGTCGGACTCACCTGAAGCGAGGGTGCTTGTTTATTGCTTCATCTGGGAAGAAGAGAGACTTCGATGCTCCTTCTTCGACTGGTCTGGGTTTATACATGGGCAGAGTGAACCCAGGACAGCCTAATCTACAACAAATTGAAGAACTTAATAGATGGGACATGTCTTATTAGGAATCACTTACCTTGTCTTGCCGTAATTGACATTTGTCACAAACATCGCATTTGTGTTACTTGGATTCCCCTTTCCCATGGAGTCCTGGCCCGTTCCCAACTACCTCACATCAAGAGCTGTTTGGCTACTCAGCTCCCATTCCCTCCTCCTCCACAGGCATGCACTCAGGCTCTCCTGAGATGGGCAGCATGCTAGGGGTGGCGGACGTGGAACAAGTTTCTGTGGTGGACTCCCTCACTGGTTCTAAACTCTGAGACTATCTTCTGAGCCTTGATCACCACTGGCAGAAACTGAGTAGAGTCTCCAAGAATCTGCCATGATTAGGCAATGTCTCTGGATTCTTCTTAAGTCTGAAACCCTCTAATGTCTTACTTGCAAGAACAGCTCTAATTCCAACAAAAAAAACCACAGCTCTGTATTTGTCTCCACATCCAAAGCTTAAATTCTCCTTCCCTTGCATTGAGGTACCCTGCTCTTTCTATTTCAGAACTGAGGTCAGTGTTAACAGTGCTGCAAAGGAGGACAAAGACCTCCACAGTCAGAGAAAGAAAGCAAAGGGCGACTGCCAGGGTTTTCAATGCACACACACAACAACTTCCAGCTTGTAGGCGAGTCCAGCTCATACCTTATCTCTAACCTTAGAGACCAGCTCATGCTTCATTGCTAACAGTTACCACCTTTCCTAACACAAAAGTGAACAACTGAAGTCACTGATCTCCTCTAGGAAACAGCACTGCGCTGCGCAGGTGTTGGAGAGCTCTCACAGCAGTGTGCGCCACCTGCTCATTTCTTACCAGCCACACTCAGGAAACTTCCTTTAGGGAGATTCCTCACTACCCAGAATCAGGCTGGCCAGAGAGAATAGGAACGTGCTTGTGTGGCAGTGAGAAGGAGCCCAGCTGTGGACCTTCAGATGTGGCAGGCCCTGCAGCAAGGAAAATGCTTAACATCTGTGCTGTCAGTAACTGGACTGCCATGGCTCAGGGCTACCATGTCCCCAAGTCTCACAAGTCTGAAAAGGTGGTTGCTTGTTGGGGGGCCGTAATCTCAGGGACTCGTCCACTAATGATAGCTCAGCAGCTGCGGGTGCTGCAGGTGGAGGGGCTGGGTGACGGCGGTCCCCTCCTCCCTGCCTTCCCGCCATCCAGGATGAGGAGCTGCCGTCCCGCTCCCTTCTATACGTCTGTCCTGGAGCAGCTGACCTGGCACTGGATTCACTGGGAACTCCTCTCTGTCCTGGGCACTGGGCACTGCATCCCAGTGGTGGGACGACGACTACCACAGGAACCAACCTGGGAAATGAAGTTATTGTGCAAAGCGCCTGGTTCTCCGCTAACACCGAAGTCGCCTCCTCACGGCGCTTCCTCATGTTGTCCTCCACCGTGTTGAATTCGGACATTGTCCCTCCATAGGGCTGTCCGGGCGTCCCTTCAATCATGTAACTCCCATACTCCGGTCTCCAAAGGGTAGGATGGCTACAGGGAGAAAACACTTGTTTTAATCTTAGTCTTCAGCTATAGTCTCCTCGAATTTTAGGAGCTGGAAAAGTTGCTTTAAAAATTTGAACACAATCAGTTGTAGACACAGCTAAAGACTTCATAAGGTTGTTAACCTTCACAGCTCTTCCACTAATGTAAGAAATAAAAAATACTGGCTCTGAGTGTGTATAAGGCACTCACTGCTCGGGACAAAGCCAGTGCAGAAAAGGAGCTCGAGGCATCGAGCCTGCAGCTTCCCAAGCTCACCAGTGGAAAATGACCTCAGCACCAAGGGTGCGCTCCTAATGAAGTTTTTTTTTTTTTTTTAATTTGATAAGAGTAAAAAGGCTTTATGTTTAGCTTACTGTGCTGTTTTAACATACTGATGCATTCAATCCCAACATCGTGGAGGCCAGTATGGATATTTTTCACAGATGGAGAAAATGAGGCAGGGGGAGGTCTATGGCTACTCACTGACTGAGCAGAGAAACCAGTATTTGAACTGAGTCAGCCCATGTGAAGAGCCTGAAGTCCTAACACACACACCCTGACCGCATGTATGGAAAGATGCTGCCTCAAGGCATCAACAGTTCCAGAACCCCTGGACCAGGCTCTTAGTACACCAGCGGCTTACTTGGGATTTGTCCTCTCTCCCTTTTCTTGTAGAGTTTCAAGAACATCTTCTCCATTCAGGACCAACTGGACCTTCTTATTTTCATGATCAAAAGATACCAACATGTATTCCACCTATGGAAGGAGAGACAGAGAGACACATTTTCTAGACCCAAGCTCAGCCTGTCCCTTAGAAATCAAGTCCGAGAGATGTGATCAGTCACACCTGCTTACACCACGGCACACAGAGCACAGCCAGCACCTGCTTTCGGTTTTCCCTGAAACTGCCTGCTTTAAATTATGCTGGATGGCATGAACAGTGAGGATTATGAATCATATCACGATGCACATGGACATGAAAAAGTACGGAGCTAGGAGGTTGGGGACTTAGCTCAGAGGTGTAAGTACCTGTCTTGCAAGCAGGCAGTCGTGAGTTCGATCCCTGGTACCGATAAAAATGAAAAAAAGACAAAAATAAATAAATAAATAAATAAAAAGTACGGAACTGTATTCAGACAAATACTTCAAAGTGCTCTCTGCATAAGGCATCTGGACCGTGACTGCAGAGAAGACATCCTACCATTTCATCTGGTTTTACAGCACTTACAAAAGCAAGGGGCAGGCTACACTATCCCCACTCTTTTCCTGACAGTTCACATGAAAACTCAGATTCTCAAGTCTTGGGCTGAATTGAGAATGACTGACCTGCTGCTAAGAGTAATTAGAAAGGGAAAAGCTGGTAACCACAGAAAACAGTGGCACTGATTTAAACAACAGCAAAAAATAAAGATCACTTATTATGGATCATCTTACTGATGAGGTTAGGTTCTATCAGAATTTTTAGTTTGGTAAATGGGTAAGAACCGAGCCATTAGGCAAGTGTGTGCACTCGGCCCCGGCCCCGGCCTGAGGTGCAGGCTGCCATGCAGCCCTCTCGGGGGTTACAAACAGGACCCTCCAGGCCCGTGCAAAGGAGATGCTGTGTGGCCCAGGGACAGTGAATGGAAAGACCCTACGTGTAAGCCTTGCATCTGTCTCTAAACTGAGCGTGCTAACAGAAGAGCTGTGCAATGAACTCTTTGTGGGTCCTAACCTTTAATCCTATGATGCAAAAGCAAATCTCATCATCCATGTTACAGGTGTGCCAAGAGACCAGATCAGTCCTGAAGGCCACAGTGTCAGCTGTCTGTCCTGCCATGCTGCTAGGACTACGGAAGACACCAATTCTGGTAAGGGTGGATAAGCTTTTATAAAGTTGTAAGCTGGAAAGCAATGCACAGCTAACCACCTCTTGGCAGGATTATTCTCCTCTGCCGGAGCAGGCAAGGTGCTCCTGCACAGCAGCTGAGCTGTAGCCAGCAGCTGCACTCATGTTTGAACAGATAGGTCTGCCCTCTTAGGGCCACAGACTGCTGTCTGTGTGCCCCTGTCTGGTCTCCTAATTCTCGCAGTCCATCAGCAGTTTGTCCTCCACTCCTGAGCTTCCACACAGCCGCCTGGGGTCCACCTTACAAGAACTGTCTTCTTACCCCGACAACATGCTTCCTTAAAGAAGTAAGGAAACAGTTCCTAGCCCACTGGCTGTGCACCACTGGTCTGTTTCCAATGTAAGTAAGAGCTTTTGTAGCAGTTACGCAAGCTGACTTGTAATAAATTTGTTGGTTTTCCTCAAGATTTAAAATCTTTAGTTTTCAAAGTCCCTCTGTCCTCAAACAAGCATTAGTAAGGCAAAAAGAAAATGTTCACTCATTATATCAGCCAAGCAGATGACTTTGAAAATGTTAATGAATTAGCCTCTCCTTAATTAAAAAAATTACTCCATTATCTTATCAAGCAAATAAACAAATACCTAAAAATAGTTACCAGATGAAGGAGAAAACAGCTCTACTTTTGATAGGTCCCAGGATCCCAGCAGCATCCCCATAGGCACATGCAAACGTGACCAACTCAACTCCATGTGGCCAACACGCCACCTGGACGCAGCCAGTTGCTTTCTCCACAGGACACAAAGTGACAGCTCCCTTGAATGGACTCAGGAATCCACTACTTCCCAGTTACCCTTTGACATGGGGGCAAGGGACACAACAAAAACAATGAACCTCTCTGCACCTCACTCATGTTTTAATACATACTATTTCCTATGAGAATTAAAGTCCTTTATATTACTGTTACTAAAAGATTAACTTTTTGTAAAACCGTAAGCAAAGTCACTAACATCTCCTAGCTGTTGACTTAAGGACAAAGACAATAAAACTTAAAAAGATAGAAGTGCTTGAAAAGGGTTTGAAGGCCATGAGGAAAGAAAGACACATATGTTGCTCGGAACAACCTGGATACAATAATCCTCCAGTCATTTAATGCAAGTTTGAACAAGGGTAACAAGGTGCTTAAGTTTATTTAAAAGTAGCCTAATAAAAATAAGGAATCTTAATAGAGGGTGATGTAAGTACTGTACTCAGTACAATACTGAATAAAGATCAGACACAGAGCAGAATACTTGTGATAGTAAATTTTAAAATTACAACTAGTATAAGCATACAATTTTTTAGGATTTAAGTCAAGTCCTTCAATGGCATGTACCACTAGTGTAAAGTATTTAAAAATTCTTCTGTCATACTTTTATACATTTTGATATTCTTTCTTGATGGTCAAGGCTTCTGGGAGCCTACAGTCTGAGGTACAGATGGGCATTTTATAAAACACTGATTTACTTCTACTCCCTAGAGGTGAAAACTACTTAATTAGGAAAGAATCTAGTTCCATGAGACTCAGAACAGTTTCAGGCAGTTTCACATTTGGAGTCATTAGATTTAGAGAAAGTTCTTTTGTCAGTCTATGTGTAAATGAGAAGAAGAACAAGGAATCACCTCACCAAAACCATACAAGACCAGCTTGTACTCACACCCTGCAGGGAAGGAGCCCACGGTGCAGTCCTTGGTGGACACCGTGGGCCAGGCAGGGAGGGGAGTGCACACCCCAGGAAAGGCTGGGGCAAGGACCTGGCAGGGTCGCAGCCACTCCCGAGGCTCGGGCTTCAGGACCAGCTCCATCCTTGCCCCCCAAGTGACACAGTGGTTTCCATCTGCCTGCTCCTGAGCCCACACAGTTTCCTCCTTACAAGTCCACAACCGTCCTGAGGCTCCAGGCTCTCCTGTCCGTGGCTAATCAGTGCCCAGACACCGTGCTGTCCCTGAGGTCTCTTCAACCTGCACGAAGCCCCACGCTGAGCTGCTGAGCGTAGCATAAAGCACCAGGCCGACCCGGTTCCTGTCCTCAAGACCGCAGCTGCTGAGCAGCTGGAGAGGGCGCCAGTACTTAGCTCCAAGCTCCTTCCTAGGACGCAGGGCCATAGAACCCCCAACACTCACTGCCCAGGAGCCATAGAAACTGAATTTATGTTTCTCTGTACTTTATATACATACGATTTTTTAAATTGGTGGCTGATATATTAAATTGCCCCATGTTCTAAGAAATAAAGTGTTTTAGTTAAGTTATAGCAAACAAAACATTTTATGTATTTTGGGAGAACAGGTTTTCCCCTTACTTTAAAATGTCAATTTACTGTTGTAAATTGCATGTGATACACTCTAGGGCAATGGTGGCAAACCTATGGCCTGAGTTTCCCTTGTAAGAGAAATGTATGGGTTGTTTTTCTAAACTAAAACCTCAATGTTCAGGTTTGAATTTTTGTTTGTCTGTTCCGTGTTTTGAGATAGGTTCTCGCAGTGTAGCACAGGCTGGCTTGAACTCACTATGTAGCCTTGACTGACCTCGGACTTGAGGTGATCCTCCTGCCTCAGCCCCTCAAGTGCTAGATTACAGATGTGCACCACCATGCCCAGCTAATATTCAGGTTTAATTGTAGTGCAGGCACTTTGCAATAAATGAGTTTTGGGTTGCAGTTTGGTGCTTGGTCTCTAAAAGGTTTGCCATCACTGCTATACGAGAAGCTTAAATTCTTAAAACCAAAATAAACATGCCCTGCCCTGCGCTGTCCTGGTCTTCTCTTGGCATGTTAGGCTTGGAATTTAGTTTTCAGAGCAGGCTGCTTTTTATTCACATTAATCTAAGTTATAACAAAACTCAATGATTTTCCCCAAACAATTAGGTGAAGTAACTTTCTTGAACCATTATGTTGCTTCACAGAGAGAAAACATGAGATCCATGAGAAAAATTTCAAGTCTTCAAAAGAGAAAGGAAATGGGTGCTGCAGGGAAAACTGAATCTCATAAAAGGAAAATGCCATCTTTTATTAAAGAAAGACACAAAAAATCATGCTGTCCACTATGGCAGCCACTAGGCATGTGTGATTATTTAGATTTTAAAGTAATTAAAGTACATTTAAAATCAAACAAAATTTAAGATAATTCTGTTTTTTTAACAAAAAAAATTCAGTTGTTATCACTGTGGCATTTGTGGTAGCCACCAGGTAACACAGGAACTTGAAACGTGAACCCTTAATGAAAACCTCAGTCACCCTCATACAGGGTGGCTATGCTTACATAGCTAAGTTAGCACTTGTCCTGTGGACCAAGCAGCTCATCAAGCATATTCAACAGAGCTGGTCTGAGCACGCTGGCATTTCATTCAGAATTACCAGCCAGCTGGTAATGAAATTGCTGAAGTCTGCATCTATGGTTCTAATGAAAGGGAAATTAAAATTTTAAAGCCTGCCAAGGATGCCCGCCAACACCAGGTTGACATGTCCATGTCTGGACAAGCCTGATAACACACATTCTTTCCTTTGTGTAACCATCTAAAAGACTGCCTTAAAATGTTTCTTTGTGTAACGTGTTTCTAGTGCCTTTGAATGTAACTTGCAATGTAACAAGACATTTCTTTTTCTCTATAACCCACATCTTATATAGTTGATGGCCTTGCAGTGTAACCTAAAATGTTTGAACTCCCTTGGCAACTGGTGATGTCACCCAATCTTCCAATCATAATGCACTAAATCAAAATCTTCTTCTGTACTTACCCCTTCATCTCCCCATAAAAGGTCTGAAATCCTGCCAGGCAGGCCTGACTCTTTGGGAAAGAGAGATCTTAGTCAAATCCACTGATGTAATAAACTGCCTCCTAAACCTCCTCAGTGCCGTGTTTTCCTTGTTTTTGGTCTGTTTTCCATAACATTT